GAAAGAAGGGAGAAGAGGGTAGAAGAGGCGACTGACTGAATCATCCTGGTCGGGCCAAGCCAGGACACCCGTCTAAAAGAAGCAGGGGCCGAAGCGGTGTATTGCCTCGCCCGGGGGGCCCCGAAGGGTCCACGTCAGGCTAAAAAGAAATTAATCGAATTTGCGAAGGCATTAAATCCTAATATTAACTTTAGACTACGGTACAACAAGCTTTATTTTGACAAAAAAATATATGTTTACTGCTCCGAAACTGATAGTGTGCGCGAGCTCGGGGCTCCTTCTGAGTTGAGTCTCGCCGATACAGCCGCTGGCGTCCTTGCTGAGTCAGCGAATGAACCCCCTTCGTCATAGCAACCGTGAAACGATCATGGTCATTCTTCCGAAAATATGTCTATCTTTTTTACTAACATAAGGAGCGTGCTAAAAAAGCGAGATGTGTTATGCGCTGTGCTTGACTCGTCATCGGCTGACCTTGTCGTTCTCACAGAGACGTGGCTTTCCGCTACAGTACGGATTAGTGAAATATTTGATTGCCAAAAGCGGTTTAACGTGTATCGTTCCGATAGGCAGTTTGGATTTGGAGGTGGTGTACTAATTGCAGTAGCCGACTGTATAGTTTCCTATTGTGTAAACTTGGCGTTAAATATTGAGTTTCTCTGCGTTTGTTTTGAAGTGAATTATAAAAAAGTTATTCTTTGTGTTTGCTATCGTCCGCCGAAGTGTACCTCTAGTTTTGTAAACGAACTTCATGATGCTATCAATATAGTTGTAACAAGGTTTCCAAACAGTCCAATATTTTTTCTAAGTGATTTTAATTACCCAAACATCTGTTGGTCACATGAGAGCCCGTTTCCTAATCCATTTTCGTCGGGGTGTTTTGATTTCATGAACATGTGTTCCGATTTTAACTGGTCGCAGCTAGTTACAGAAGCCACAAGAATTGCAGCCACGTCAGCAAATATTCTTGACCTTGTTCTAACCTCCCCACCTGACCTTGTATCCCTAATATCTCACCTGCCAGGACTAAGTGATCACTGCTCGTCACTTATCTCTCTAAGCATACCAAAGTGTAATAGTAGAAAGCAGATAAAAGTTATTCGTGACTACCGAAAAGCTAATTTCGACGCTATAAACGATGCCCTGAGTCAGTTCGTTGATCACTATTTTGTTAACTGCTCCGAGCGTTCTGTTGAGCAGAACTGGAATATGTTTAGGGGTCAAGTCGCTGTTCTCACCGACAAGTACATTCCACTGCGATCTGTAACATCTCACCATCAATCACCATGGTATAACAAATCACTGAGGAGGCTATCGAACAAGAAAAAGAGATTGTTTCGTGCCGCGAAATCTTCCAGTACCTGTAACCGTTGGGAACCTTATCACAACGCCAATGCAGTGTACAAAAGTGCTATTGAGGATGCAAAAAACGAGTATTTTAACGTTAAGCTACCGTCTATGTTAGCCACTAACCCAAAGCAGTTTTGGAATGTTGTTAGTAAAAAAGAAAAATTCGTAATTTCACTCAAGGCCGCGAATGGAGACGTAATTAATAGCGATGAATGTTCTCGCGTTTTGAATGATGTTTTATTAAGTCCTTTCAGACTGTTATTAACACGCCTATTTGTAGATTTGCCGCGAGTGATTTTTTGCCTATGGGACCCGTTCTTGTCGACCCATTTGGTATTGTTAAGATAATCGATAACTTAAAACTTTCTTCCTCTGCTGGCACCGACAGCATTAACTCAAAGTTCCTCAAAAACACAAAAATGTATTGCTCTTTGATATTATCTCAAATTTTTTCCCAGTCGCTTTCACTTGGAGAGTTGCCTGCTGATTGGAAGAGAGGGAAGGTGGTGCCAATCCACAAAGGAGGTGATAAATATTGCCCGGATAACTATTGACCAATTTCGCTTACAAGCATTCCACGCAAGATACTAGAACATATCATCTACTCACAACTAGTTCAATTTTTAGAATCTAACCTTTTCTTCAGCACCGCTCAGCATGGTTTTCGTAAATCCTTTTCTTGCGAAACGCAACTTTTGTCATTCAACCATGATTTGCACCTAGCGCTTGACCGAGGGTCCCAGGTAGACTGCATTTTTTCGGACTTTTCCAAAGCATTCGATAAAGTTTCACACAAGCTGCTGCTATTAAAACTTAACAGTCTTAACATTGACGCAAATGTTCTGTCCTGGATAACTTGTTTTCTCACTAATCGTTCCCAGTTTGTAACCGCTAACGATGAAACATCCCCGCTCGCCTCAGTCCATTCTGGAGTACCGCAAAGTTCTGTATTAGGCCCGCTATTGTTCCTTATCTATATTAACGATTTGCCGAATTCGATTTATTCTCCAATTGGTTTATTCGCTGATGAATGTGTTATTTACAGAGAAGTTACTAACGCCTCGGATGTTCTGAATTTACAAACTGACATCAACCATGTTTCAAAGTGGTGTGAATGATGGGGGATGGATCTTAACACGACTAAATGCAAGGCCATGACAGTATCGCGTAAATGTAATTTTCCTTCTTATTTTCTCGAAGATGTCCCCTTACATTCTGTCTCTTCTTATAAATACTTAGGCGTGTGTATAACCTCAGATATTTCCTGGCAAATGCATGTTGAGTATGTTATTAATAACGCTAATCGAATGCTGGGTTATCTAAAACGAAACTTTTCACTTGCCCCTTCATCTTTGAAACTAACTCTGTACAAAACGCTTGTACGCTCTAAATTACAATGTGCTTCTTCTATCTGGTACCGCGGTCATTCCAAAATAATTAACGCCCTGGAATTAGTTCAGAATCGCTCTGCTCGTTTTATTCTTAATACCTTCCATCGTACCGCAAGCGTGAGCTCAATGAAAACTAGCCTATTGTTGCCTAACCTCAATTTACGTCGTAAAATAGCTCGCTTATGTCTTTTTCATAAGATATACCATACTAACTCATTACTTCACAACCGACTGCTGAATCAACCTTCTTATATTTCACCTCGCATTGATCATATGTATAAAGTAGACATTCTAAAATGCAACACTAATGCATTCCAAGAGTCATTCATTCCGAAAACTTCAGTGGATTGGAACCACCTTCCCGCATCTATCGCAACAATTGTTCCTGACCATTTATTTAGGACTGCCATAAATAATCTATACTGCTCAGATTGAGCTGCGAAGTGTACTACTGCCGCTAACTCCCAATCCCCTCTGTAATGCCAATGGCCTTGAGGGTATTTTAAATAAATAAATTAATAAATAAACACACTCCGAGCTCAGCTCAACAACCAGGGTCCCCTTTTCCCATGACACGGGTGAAGCCACGCACAGCCAGACGTGGGTGGGCGAACCCACATGGCGCGGGGTTCGTAGTGACGCCACTCACCAAGCACCTACTAGAGTAGGTGCCCCCTGCGTGCGGGTATGGTGACCTACGTGGCTGGGGTCCGTGGTGATGCTACTCACCCAGCACCTAGCACCTAAGGTGCAAGCGCCCCCTGCGGGACTCGGGGTCCGTGGAGACGCCACTCTCCAAACACCTGCTTTCACAGGTGCGCCCTGCGGGGTAGAAACCAATTTTTGCGGTTGATTTGAAGAGCGTGGCCGCTATTTGAGTCACCCTGTAGATCATTAATGCGAAAGCCTTAACAATCCCGTAAAACAGAAAAAACGCGAAAGAAGTCACTATTCTATTGGCTAAGCGAAACGGCTCCTAGATAGCCATTGGCGGCCGCTTCACGAGAGCGCGCGCAACGCCGCAGCTTTCGTGTCAGGCGTTGCATAAAGGGGGGGGGGGGGGGGGGGGGGGGGCTGCGGCCGCTTATACTCCTCTCTGCGCTGAGGAACACGGTGGCGCCTGAGGCATCTATATCGTCGCCGGCCGCAACCTCGGCCGTAGCGAAATGTAGCCGTCCGCGCCAATACACCGCAGACAAACGAAGGGAGCGGAAAAACGACATTCATCTTTTCAAATGTACAAGTCCTAAGTAGTGCTTAGGTGTCGTCGGAATTTTTATAATAAGTCCATGATCTCGACAGTAAAGGCTTCGTATCCTAAATAATAAATTGTGGACTGCATTTCATGTCATGTGAGAGAACATCTTTGCGATTGACTAGGACAAGAATATATTCTGAAATGTGGTTATACAAAGAGGGCTCTATGACTATACGGTACAACTGCTGGTGAAATAAGACGCCGAATGCCCTCAACATGGCGCCAAGGCACTGATAGCAGACAACAATGCTTGTTTCAATTTGGAGTCTAACCGATAGCGACGTCAGGTGCAGGAAGCCTAAATGAGACTTTTAAAAGTGTCTGCGCCTTTCTTAACACGCAAACCTCGTAGAAAGGGCGCACTCTGCGAGAAATTGAAGCAGGCTGTGGAATAAAACGCACAGGATGAACGATCGGTGCTTGGACATATAGCATCTCCAGCTCGCATGACTCAAGAGATACACCTTCTCTTGGGCCGAAAGCTCTTTTGGTCCGGTTTCCCACCCGAGACATCTGAAATTCGTACTAGAACCTAAGAAGAAACTCGTCCAAGGGCGGCTTTGTTTGGACTTTAGGATGAGCATTTTATATACGAGTTTAGCCGTACCAATTCTAATTTTCGGCATAAAGCCACCGAAGAAGCAGAAAAAAAAAAGGAATTAATATAGTCCAAAAATGCGATACGGAATGACTGCTTAAGAAACGCAGTGCCTGGCTTAGAACGATTATCTTGCTTAGTGATTTGATCTCTGGGGTCCTTATCTGTCAATGCGGCAATGTCAGTTGCTGCAAAACGGTCATAGCATGCTTGTAAGTGGACGCGCTCTGCGTTTCTCAAGTTGTCTTGCGACTTTACTCACTGAAATCACCTGCAGTTTCCCTGAAGGCGTAAGTCAATACAAGGAAGACCAAAATAAGTAAACGTAAAGCTTCCATTTTACTCGAGTTGGCGGACCGCACTTTAGGAGTCTCAAATAGATGACAAATGAACTTAATGTTTGCAGCAATTTGCGGCAAGCCCGTGATAAAAGCGTCGCTGGAAGTGGATGACAGGATCATCGGAGGTCAAGAGGCGGTGCCCGGTAGCTGGCCCTGGCAGGCTGCGCTGCACAAGCCACACAAGGGCTTGAGTTGCGGTGGGGCTCTCATCAGCGAACGGCACGTCATCACAGCCGCACACTGCGTATGGTACGTGAGACACTGCTGAAATTTAACATTCATAGGCAGGACGCATGTTTGACAAGTTTTAAACAACAAAAACAGAACGATCAACTTCCAGAGCGGAAAATGAAACAAAGTTTCTGGTTTTATAATGGGAGCCCCTACTACAGTCAGTGACAGCTTTAGAAATGCATGGAGTATCTTAAGCAGTCAGTTTGTGATCTGCTCTTGGGTATTCTTATCGGCTAATTCCGCAATCTGACTGCGCAGAGATAACTATACTCCTTCTCAAACATCGCGTGCAACGCTGGGAAAGCTACTGAAGTAGTGCGCATGAAAAAACACACAAAAAAAGTGTTACTCCGCGAGATTTCGTGGACGAGCGGTACAAGGCGCTGCGCTGGCGATGCCGACGTCTCGGTGGCGGTGGTTCGAATCCACTTAGGGCGCAAAGGTTTTTTCTTTTATTTTTTTTCCTCGATCTAGTTTTTGTGCAAGATTGTGCGTATTGCGGAAGTGCATATTTCAATTCCTCTTTTCTTGTTGATTTTTATTTATAAGAAGGTAGACTAGGGGCTGGTGTTCCGCTTGAACTTGCGCCGGCTTCGTCAAAACGGAAGAACGGTCGAGATCCAGGGCGCCTCTATTTAAAGCCGTTTATTTACATGGTAGCGTGAAAATTAGAGAGTACCTTGAGATTGTGGTGGACGGTCCTTTATATAACGAATACTGTGAATAGGGGACCGCACTGCCATTGGTCAGACGGCTTGGCATTCCCTCACGTGATGTGACTTCATGGAAGTTTCCTTCAGAGTCGGAATACTCGCTGGTGTATGGAAGAAGTCATCCAGACGGCAGTATCTCGGTGCTCTGGTGCTGGCGCCCCCATGAACCGGAAGTGATTCACAATAGACGCGTACACAACACACGGCACTCGAGATCAGGATCTAGTGTTGTTTCCTTTTCGAGGAAAGCAAGGGCCTCGGAATACAGGCACGGGCATGTGCGTCGTTTACTTAGCCGGCCAAGGTTAAGGTGCCTCAGGCAGACGGAGCCGACCAAGGTTACGGTCCCGCAGGCAGAAGAACCCAGACGCTTCGGAATGCGATCACGGGCACCGCCTGCTGTAAGGTCCCGCAAGCAGGTACCGTAGGCACGATTCATCACCGTCACAGTTCCTTCTTGAGGCTTGTTTCACTTTGAAGCCATAAGGCCGATTTCAACAACAGAAATAACAGGTGGCAGCTCACAACACTGTTCGCGTGCTCGGAACTTTCACGTTGCGAGGTCTTCGCTTCGGGGACGCCACCTGGCCAGACACTCCGGTGTCGTTACTGACCGTCTCCAGGACCTCACGGACCGATGTCCCCGGGAAACACGTTCTTGAACTCGCGTTCACGTTGGCGATCACCTGCTTGCACTTTTGCGAGATCTTCACAGAACGAATCTTCGAAAATATCCGAGCAGGAAAAGAAAGCTTCCCGCGTAAGACGCCATCTTCACGAAACCGGCGAGGCAGGGGCAGCCGCACAACCCGAAAACCCGAAGCGAGTGCGAGTGCCGCACGAACGAAAACGGAAAATAATTTTGAGCAGTTTACATTATCTTTTCCTTTTTATTGAAAAAGAATCGGTGTTCCCTCGAAATCATAACGCCACTATTAGTTACTAGCTACAAAGATGTACACTTTTCGACTTTTTTTTTTTTTTTTAAGGGGCCGCATTATTCTGTGGAGCGAACGTAGCCGCGGTCGGCTGTGCAAACCGGCGCGCTAGCTTTGACTACGTTGCACGCTATGTTTGAAACGGAGTATAGATCTTCCGGAACCACCACGCCCTGCTTTCTTACGCAGTCCGTAACTGCATCAAGATGTGTCCATCGGCCCGTCCTTGCTTTCCGCCCATACTCCATAACGTGTGACGTCGCGGTGTTGCGTAACCACGTAGCGCGACGTCAGGTCACGTGTCGTCACTGTGTCACGTGGCACCAAGACTTGAAATCGTAACGTTACTAGACCTTAAATATATCGAGCAAATTTAAACGAACACTTACTGCCTCCTGTGCATGATAAAACTTTGTAAATAATGACCGCAATATATATTTTGTTTAATTTGGTGCCCATTGCGCGTGGCTAACTCAAAGCAATTCGTTACTCAGGAAAATGAGTAGTAATGTAACAGTAGAAAATGATCGATGTAAGTGGAAGCGGCTTTTGCTCTGATATCGGCATTCAGTTAAATAAGAAATTAATGGCGTGACTCACAATTAGGCTAGTACTTTTTGGACACATATATATTCTATTTATTGAGTCAAAGATTTAAACAACTTGTTTTGATGTTTCTTTCTTCTGTCAGGATGCCGTTACAAGTACAGCGCTTAATAAAGGTTCAGATCGGAAACCACAGAAACGACGTTGATGAACTGGGCGAGGTTTGGGCGGAAGTGGATGAGATATGCGTTCATGCAGACTACAACCAGAGAAGAAAAACGGTGAGATGATAATCAATTTATTACTCTGGCTACAGCTTAAAAAATATCTAAATATTAACCCTGTCGTTGTTTTCGCGTCGTTTCTGTGTTTAATCATCCGCCACCCCCCCCCCCCCCCCCCCCCCATTTCTTGTTTCATGAACGCACAAAAAACTATTTTTGAACTAGTGCATTAATGTAGCTGCTCGAACTTCCCAATAAATACTACGTGTTTATTTTTTTTTTTTTCAAAAGAAAACCGTGTTACCCTCTTCGAGCAGTTGTATTATTTCCTCCTGGCGTGTATATTAGAAACCGCAATATCTCAGCAAACTTATTACTCCAGCCGACTCAACATCTTCTCTGATTTATTTTTTTGTGAACAGAAAACTTTATTTTGACTCATCTGCTAGTTGGACCTCACCTGTTTCAACCTGAAATATTTCTGATCCTTTATTTTTACCAGTTGTTTTAATGGGTTGCCGTTTCCACGCATCGCTATTTTCTTTATACAGTATTTTGTTACTTGTGTTCAACCATTTATGCTCACTCATTTGAGTGTTTATTTTATTTATATTTCCTTAACATTCAATAATTTTTTTTATCGTCTTTAATTAATTGAAACGTTTTGCTTAACATTTTTTCATAACGGTTCGGTTTCATTTTTCTTGCTAACACTCAAGTAACAGCCTGCTGATCTCCTGAATACCTCCATGGGTGTTTATCTCACTTCTGGCCTATCATGGATTACTAAAATAACCTCTGTTATTGCTGATACTAACCGTACTCACGGGTATTTGCGCCTTAACCTCAAACTTTCTACACCCTCCCTAAAACTACTAGCATATTCTACTCTTATAAGTTCCAAGTTCGATATGCCTCACCTTACAGTCTCCATGGCAGTGACACCTCACAAAACACAAAGAATCCGCTCAAAGCCGAGCCCTGCGTTTTATTTATAATAACTACTCAACATCTATCAGCACATCAAGATTACGCTAATCAACTAACCTTTGCTTAATTTCCCTTTGCCTCCGAGTGCCACGCCTCCCTGTTCTTCATCAATTTTTCTATCACAATACCTACCTCAGAGAATCATTACTATCAGCTCCTGTCGTATTTTCCCTCGTTTAGGTCACCCATGTAAATTGCGTTGAATGCGATCATTGACTGTTTTTTACCAGACTTCCACACTATCTCTGGCTATCAAGGATTGGAATTCACTACCACACAACATCGTTTCTACAAATAACCCTAATAAATTTGCTGAATCCATTATCCTCTTTCTATCTACTTAGCTAACTAACTTACAGTGTTATGTTTGTGTTCCCAGCACTTTTGTTTTATTGCCATCCCCTTGTATAATGCCCAAGGGCCCTCAAAGAAAATAAATAATGAGGATGATGAAGATTTTACTTCCTTTGAACTGAAAAGTGAGGTCTATGAAAAGTGGTCTTCTTGTGTTTTTGTACAATAATTAAACACTGGAAACCAAATCAATTGTTGCTGGCCGAAATTAAAATGTTTCTGGATTTTGAGATGATCCCTGCATTATGACGTTTTTTGTGTCTTTTTGTGAGATGGTCTCCTATATATATATGAGTTTGATTAAAATACAATTTAGTATGGGAAGAATGGACGACTCTAAGTTAATCGTATTACAATGTATCACGTTGCCAATTGTAATATGCCATAAATAATTAAAACTGACGTTTCGCCTGCTGCTTTAGAGTCTCAAGGCCGACATTGCAATTATCAAACTCAAGCAGCCCGTAAACATGTCCAGTAGAATACAACCGGTGTGCCTGCCTCGGAATTACGAAGAACTTGCCGAAGATTCTGAAGTTTACGTCACAGGCTGGGGGCACACCGATGGTAAGCGCTGCGAGCTGTCACTTGCCACCGCTTTCGGAATGCTTTCACTACACCCGTTCATTAATTGAAGCAAGTACATTGGTAAAAAATATGAAGTAAAACGTTTGAATAGCAGGCAATAAAACCACTCGCACTATCTGCTAGCGTCACCCGGCAGAAGTACGTCGCTTTTTTTTTACGCTCCTTAGCGTGTTTCGCCGTTAAGTGAGTGTAACAGCTCGTGCATTATATTTAGGGCGTCGTAATCTATTATGTTCCTTTCGAATATGAAACTGTAAGACCTATATTAACGAATTACTTCTGGATATTTTTGAATTCAAAGAAAGTATTACTTATTTTATATATCTTAACAATAGGTTTGTTTAAACATTTAGTACTTTTAGATACCGCGATATATGTTACAGCTAGCTTTAGACCTGAATGCTGGTTAAGGAAACCTGAATATAAATATTCCCATATAGGCAACCAATTAATAATAATAATATTGCATCACTTCATTTACATTCATTGATGGCGGAGACCGAGAAAAAACTGAAACAATGCACTGCAGGAAACAATATTATGACTTTTGAGATAATAGAACCAGTTTAAAAGCTAACCTTGTCTGGGATGTTATATAAAATATAGCAGTGGTAAAAGTTAGGTACATTTGTAATATGATTTTTTCACTCGTAGAAAACCTGTCCCGTCATTGATAAACTTCTCCTCACCATCATCACCCTAATTATAATATTTTTATGTAAAATAAGGTGATAGAGTAATATCACCTGCCCGTAATTGTAGCTTTAAGCTTTTCTGGCCTCAACGGCAAAATAACCCCTCTCGTCTTTGTGATCAAACGATTTTGTTGTATAAATTATATAATCACAATTTTCTTGTTGTAATGTCGACTATCTCATTATAAAAAAATTGATATGATTATGTTTTGATTGTAATTATTACAATCCATATTTATTTTAAGACAGCTAGGGTCAAAAGTGAATCGAATCACTTGAAGCAAGCCATGACGAGAGTGATAAGCAACGAAGCCTGCCGAGGTCACAGCGGAAGAATGTTGCCACCAAGTATACTTTGCGGAATCCATGACTATGGATCTTCGTGTGAAGTAAGGAAATCTTAAAACTATATTATCCTTTATTTGTCTGCTTTCCTAACTATCTTTGTACACAAGCATGAGATCGTTCCTATACGTTTACAAAGATAATGTACATGTATATGAACGTTTATATTGTTTAGCGTACCTTTCCATACATTTACAAGCCATATGTTTAAAAAGTTTACAAACGCATACACGCATGTTTAGAATGTTCATCTCTTCGAAATGTTACTGATTCCACGTCCAATTCATATCAATTGAGATTTATCTCGTTTCGTACTTTTCACATGAAACAAAATGACCTAATGTTGGAATAAGTAGCAATCAAACTGAAAGATTTACGTATAGAAATAATAATTTCGTGAGCATTTTTCGGACCATGCACTTTACAAAAAATCACTTTCATTGACCACAACGCATCGAACATTAGAGGGGTGGTATAATAAAGCGTTCTATAGCTGTGTGTCCATTTGTACTTTTATTTTCACATAGAAATATGGTATTTTACGTTAACAAGAAGGCAGCGGAATCATTCAATTCCATGAAAGCAATTAAAATGAAAGTTTAAAGTGCTTGGATTCGGCAAAATACGTATGCAAACAGGCGTCGCACATACCGTCCTGGGGAAGCCTGCAACATCAGCAAAAGTGGTTACAGCCGTAACAAAGATCGGGGAAGCGAAGGATGACCAAACAATCTCTAAAATTAGCGCCATGCCACGACTAGTTTCCGTAACGCAGTTTGAAACATATCTCCGGACGACAATATGTGTTTCGGAGAATGACCTCGGTCGTCGTATGGTGCTAGTATCAAAGGTTCCCCTTAGGGAGCCTAGATAAAAGAGAGGGTCCATTTTAAACCATGGGGTAGCGTTTGCAATTTAGTGGCGGACACCTCATGCACCGATCGGTCGGAAGTGCGCATGCGCTGCGCTTTAGGGTGGGGAGGAGGAAAGCGGGAAGAAAGGCGGAGACACTTCCAGACGACCAACGCTTTCGTCGTCACCTCGCAGCTCGTATAGCAAATGCGGCCCATAGACCACGTGACTCCGATCGAGCAGTTGGCAACTCTCAGTAATTGAGGTCCTCTAGCTCACATTTGTCGTTCGCTCCTCCTCCTTTCTTTATGGCGGCTAAAAATATATTGTTTTCGTGGCAAAGATTCTATATAGGAGTAGTTACAATATTTAGCGCAATAACTGTACGCTTTTGCATGGTTATAAATAGCGAAATGACGGAAATGCAACGGTGAAATGTCAATTTTCGCATTACTTTCCGAAAGTAGGTGATTGCAGTGGAGTGATGTCTAACAGTACCACAGCTACTGTGCTCCGAATCGGTTAGGATGAAAAGTATAAAATACTTATATATGCCGAAAATACGCCAATCATCTAATAGCATGGTTAGCATTGAAACAAATCAATCCATCAACGTGAAAAGCTGCAGTTTCATCCTCCCACTCATGAGTAACTTGTACTTTGTAAACATTTATGCTCAAATTTTATCCACGAAATGCAGAAGTTGGGAAAGAATGTGTCCGTTTGTAGTTACTTGATTTGTAAAGACTTGATAGTTGGGAACAACAGTGGTACGTGCTTACGCTGAGCAAGTTGGTGAATAAGAACTTGACGACTTACATAAATGGCGACAGCATTTTTCTTTTTTTCATTTCGACGCCCAATTTCTAAGTTGAATGCTAAAACTGTGCCTTCCCTTGAATAATCCCGACGTGTACCAGAGGAAAAAAACGCACTTAAGTGCTCGCCTTTACTCGTTCCTCGGAGTCCTAATTCTTGCCTTATACTTCAATAATTGCTGAATATGCATTGGACCTGTTTTAACGTGTCCTTTCAGGGTGACAGCGGCGGACCAGTGGTGCGCATTTCGAACGAAACTTGGACCATCCACGGAGTGGTGGTCGGGGGACCAGAGGTCTGTGGACAAGATGATGAGCCCATGTACTTCACGAAGGTGTCCTATTACATGACGAAATTCATCTTACCCTACATAAACCCCAAGTCTAGTAGGCAAACCCTCCAGAAGATCTGCAAGTCTTTCTAAATCAATAATAAAGTTTACCAAATGCCGTCATAAAAAAAAAAAAAAAAAAACGAGCGCCGTGTCTTGTTTTGTCGTAATGTAGGTTTTTTTCTCAGACTGTGGAGCACGCATTGCCGTGCAAGGACAGTGCTTATTTCTGTCGAGGCACTTACAGAGTGTACGGAGGTAAACAAAACTAAACATGACCGAAGTTCCGGAACGAGTATGCCGCTTTTGATTGGCCGTTGTTTTTGTTTGCGTGAGAGCGCGCAGTGAGTAGCGCGTACTTAAAAAGTATCACCGCCGAGGTTCCTCAGGTGGTCAAAGTGAATCCTGACTCCTTGCCTGGGGCGTGCCAGATGCCCGCCTTTGGTTTAGCAGGTAAAACACCCCAATTTTACTTTGTTCTTACATCCGCCTAGATTTAGTGGACTGTTTTAGTGTGAAACTATCATGATGACGAGTGGCACTAGTTTCCTGATAAATTTAGCGAGGAAATTCCCGAATTTAATTAGCGGATGAATTTTGCTGAAATTTGTAACATGTAACCTCACGTGGCGTGGCACTGACGTCATAATGTTACGAGGCTGTGATTAGCCGCTAATTTGGAGGAATAAATTTTCCCCGTTAGATATAGATGCCTTCGAGTTACACTATACACACTTGGCGCAGCAGAGGCTTTGTGTCGTGCGCGATAAGATACGTGACAAAAACAGTTTCCGGAGCCATTCTTGGCGACGTAATTTCCTTGATATCCGCTGTCCTTGGAAGGGATATCACGCCGCGTCGAAGCTTCACCGGATTGACCTGATTCATTCCCATTTCTATCTCACTGCAGTCTGCCACCCCCTAGAGAACAAGTATCTGGCTGAACAGCGCGTTATTTTGTAGTAGCGTTGACGCAAATAAATGTTAAATATGTTTTTCGTGTATGTCCTCACGGCGGCTTTGCAAGTTCTACGGACTACAGCTCATTACGGTGGTGAGATGATGTTTGTGCACTCTTTTTTATTCATGGAATAAATCTTTTTATAAATATCTTTAGAATCTGAACTTTGAGTTTTGGGCAATTTTTTTTATAAAATTTGACCAATTTTATCTCAGTGTTCCTAGTAAGTGCATGGTGGAACACAGGCACGATGTGAACTTTCTACGCGTTTGATGAGGCACTGTTAATTCACATTAAGAAACCGACTTTTAAAATAACATTATGTTTTATATTGTGTGTAGGTGTCTCGCCAGCGCTAAATTGAAAGAAAATCGCATCGAACAAATTAATCGTACCGATACTCCTCTCCTTCCAGCAGCCAAGAACATGTTCGATGCACTATGAATACCATTTGTAAAAGAGTAACTATATTAAAATGTGTTATTAAGGCACTGAGACTGTAAACGTCGTATGGAGATTAGTTTCTCTTGGCTGCCTTTTACAGTATTTTACGTGAAAATACAGTAAAAATAAATGAGACGGATAATTTTAACATGTCAGTCTATGTTAGGGCAGGATGAAAATTAGAAAGTTCAAAAGTCAAGGACAGCTTAAAGGGAAACTGAAGCACTTGTAGAGAAAACATAGTTTAGAGCCGAGTCTTAGAGTCTTTCCTTTGTTTCGTGAATTCGATTATCCTTGTTAAATTGGGCGAAAGTAAACTTAAAAAGTTTTTGTGCAAGTAAAAACGCCCAAGGATTCCCATAAGGCAGGCGGCAAGCATCTATGCCGCCTGCTATCTGTCAAAGCTCTCATGACGTCATCGTCGGCATCTCAGCGCCGGCTTATCGGCGAGCAAGGGTCATCTCAACCCACCAATTACGTCACCTTCGCTAGTTTTACCCTCCGCTGTCGCGGTGTCCTGCGCTCGGCATGCGCTCGGCTGAATTTTAATTGGAGGTTACGTCGCTCCTTCCGATAAAACCGAAAGCTTTGAACGCACAATTTGTTAGGTTCCTACATTCAAACTTTCACATTTGTTTTCAGAAATCGAAAACCTCTACAGTTCCTTTTAAGGTACCCAGAGCACATGGCGCCTCCCGCGCATCTACTTTCCTACAGCGCACTTGGTAGAACCTGTTGCTGCATTCTACGGAGGAAACATGGGAAGTGAGGAGGCTGAAAGCATGTTTGGACCTAAATGAGCTGTATGCGGTGTGACACACGGAGGGACGTCACGCTGATAGCCACAGCGCAGACCGTCTTCATAGGTCCACATTTAATTTCTGCCTCCTCGTATGCCGGGCTCTCTCCATAGGTGGGTGAGATGTGCTCTCCCAAGTACTTTTCGGGAAGGTATAGGCGTTCTAGTTTTAGAGCGCAGCTCTTAGGGGCCCGTTTCCGGCTTGAGCGGCGTCGCCGTCGGCGTCGGCGTCGCCGTCGCCGTCGGCGTCGGCGTAACCGCGCGGTGCATCATGGGAAATGTCCCATAATGCACCGCGCGAGCCCCCCACCAAGGTCACGTGACCTCGTGGGGGGTCACGTGACCCCCCGAAGTCACGTGACTCCCCTGAGGTCACGTGGCCCCCTCCTCGAGGTCACGTGACCCCCGCCGATGTCGCGTGACCCCCCGATGACGTCATCGTCACTGATGACGTCACCGGCATCCACATCGTCATCGTCATCATCACTGATGACGTCACCGGCATCCACATCGTCATCGTCATCATCACTGATGACGTCACCGGCATCCACATCGTCATCGTCATCACTGATGACGTCACCGGCATCCGCATCGTCATCGTCATCATCACTGATGACGTCACCGGCATCCACATCGTCATCGTCATCACTGATGACGTCACCGGCATCCACATCGTCATCGTCATCATCACTGATGACATCACCGGCATCCGCATCGTCATCGTCATCACTGATGACGTCACCGGCATCCACATCGTCATCGTCATCATCACTGATGACGTCACCGGCATCCACATCGTCATCGTCATCATCACTGATGACGTCACCGGCATCCACATCGTCATCGTCATCATCACTGATGACGTCACCGACATCCGCATTGTCATCGTCATCATCACTGATGACGTCATCAGTGACGTCACTGATGTCGTCACCGGCATCCGCATTGTCATCGTCATCATCACTGATGACGTCATCAGCGACGTCACTGATGACGTCACCGACATTCGCATCGTCATCGTCATCATCACTGGTGAAGTCATCAGTGACGTCACTAATGACGTCATCGGTACCCGCATCGTCATCGTCACTGATGACGTCATCAGTGACGTCAGTGATGACATCATCGGCATTGGGGGTCACGTGACCCCCAAGGTAACGTGACCCCCCCCCTGGTTAGTTTAACCCCCCCCCCCCCCCAGTGCCCTTCCCTCCTCCTCCTCAAGAGCTGCGCTCTAATTCGGCGTTACAGGGAGTTGTAAGCGGCTTTCATTTTTTTCTTGAGGTGATTTGATACCTTTTCTAAGAAAGTAATCATTTAAAATTGTGGTATTGATTGGTAGAGCTTGCAGCTCTCTCCACAAGATTTGTTTTCTTGCCTACCCGGTCCGGGCATATACGTGGAATTAAATTATAAAAAGCTTTACATTTGGAATTAATTCAATTGCTGTTAGAGCAGGATGAAAAATATAACGTACTACTACTCGGGGCTGTCATTTTAAATGTTTCCGTGCAGAGACAGGCTAACTCGTTTCTTTCGGGTCGAAATATGCTTTGAATTTATAGGGTGTCCCAAGTCACCAGGCTCGAACTAATATGAATGATAAAAGTGAACGCCTGCACGCAGCAATCTAAACTTTTCGTGAAAGGTGTTTTTCACCGGTCGGTTTTTACATGTAAAATTACAAAGCGTAGCTTTCTTTCTGTAACAAATAGGGCCAAGAAACTTGACAGGCTCAACGGCGGGCGACGACGCAGACGACTATAAGTCGAGTTGCGGGCTACGTTTGGCGCGCGTATTGATTGATGGCGTCGGGAGCAGCGTCCGAAGATGTAGCCGACCAGCGAAGGCAAGCAGACGACACGCAGACAAAATGCGTTGGCAGCAAAAGCGTCGTCATTATGCAAACGCGTTTTCTTTTCCCCCTTTGAGGTTTGCTTTTATTGTCCTCATTTATTTCTTAACCAAATGTACATTACAAGTAGATAATGTTCGTTTGAATAAACCATGGTGGTCGCGAGCAGTTTCGTTAAGGAGGTAGCGCCATCTCTCAATACGAGCGCCAAACCCGCCCGCTACTCGATTTGGTCGTCCGCGTCGTCGCCCGCCGTTGACCTTGACAAGTTTCTTGGACCTATTTTTTTTTTTTTTTGCAAAAAGGGAGCTATGTTTTGTTATTTTACAAGAAAAAAACGACCTGTGAAAACGCCTTTGAAGAAAAGTTTAGACCACTACGTGCATGCGTCGATTTTTACGGTCCATTTAGGTCGCGCCTGGTGGCTTGGGACATCCTATATAAAAAGTACCTTTGAGTAAACGAGCACTTCCCACGAGTGGCACTCTTTGTAAGAGTTATTATAAGAAAAGTAGTCTTTGCCGTTTACCTCCAGGAAGCTGTGGAAAGGCCGAAATCAAGCCCATTTTGTCAAACACGAACCGCATAGCGGGCGGTCAAGAGCCGTCGCCGGGAGCTGGCCTTGGGCGGCATTCGGCACTCGCCGACAAGATACCATGGCTAAACCATGCATTCTTTTCTATCAGGTCATCCCCATGTTGCTGTTGTGCACGGAACCCGGCTCTTCTGATAGCCGTAAGGATCGCACCATCAAGGCAGACTACGGAGCCTTCGAAGGAAGCAGCATTTGCGGCCTGTCATCGCATCTGGAACAGCGACACGTGCCGGAACTGGAAGAAACGCCTTTCTGCAAACCTTCGTCAACAACAGCGCTGCAAGCGGTGCCCATAAGAGCCAAGCCAGACAGGACGCACGCCAGTGGGTTCGGCACTCGCCGACAAGATACCATGGCTAAACCATGCATTCTTTTCTATCAGGTCATCCCCATGTTGCTGTTGTGCACGGAACCCGGCTCTTCTGATAGCCGTAAGGATCGCACCATCAAGGCAGACTACGGAGCCTTCGAAGGGAGCAGCATTTGCGG